TTCTACCCTATAATCTTGTAGTGTTCCTGCAGATTGCCTGTATCTTACCTTGGTGTTGAGCTTCCAGTCCCTGTCCCCTGTCCCAAGATAAATGCTACTGCAACTGAACGTGTGGTGGTGGCAATATCAGAGTTTACTCAGGATAGCAGTTGGGGGTGTCCCAAGATGGCTGCAACCACTTTCAGAGATGGGGCTGAAAAGGTGGGCTTGCCTGTTCAGAGATGCAGCTGTCTCCAGACCATATATGTTTTCCCAAGGTGGAGGCTAATGCTTGGGGAGGGCTGTGGAGTTGGCTGCTGTGTCCCAAGATGAAGGTGGGCCAAATCTGGGCTGCAGTGTATCTCAGTTGTTGCTAATGGGACTTCTGGTATTAATTTTATTGCTTTCTTTGATTGTGACAAGTCATGCTTTTCTCTTGCTGTTTTCAAGTTTTTTTCTTTATTTTTAATTTTCACTATTTTGAATATGGATCTTTTGTGTGTATATTTTGTTTTGAGGTAGGGGAGCTTTTTTGATGCGTGGATTATTATTTTTAACCTACGTTTGGCATTTTCTACCAATATTTTTTCTCTCCTTTTTTTTTTCCAGATGTTGAACCCAGGAGTGCTTTTTTATATTTTGCGTTTTTATATATTGAACCCAGCTCTTTTTTTTTTTTATTTGAGACAGAGTCTCACTAAGTTGCTTTAGGCCTGCCTCAAGTTGTTGTATTTTTTTATACCCTTATTTTACTTATTTACTTTTATGTGGTGCTGAGGATTGAACCCAGTGCCTCACATATGTCAGGTAAGCATTTACTACTGAATTACAACTGCAACTCCAGTCATTATTTCTTAAAATACATGTTCTGTTTCCCCTTTCTTCTCTTGGTTATTTTTATGTTGGTGTACCTAATGGTATACAACATATCTCTGAAACTGTTGTGTTGTTGTTCCTCCTCCTCCTCCTCCTCCTCCTCCTCCTCCTCCTCCTCCTCCTCCTCCTCCTTTCTTCTTTTCTCTTCTTCTCATTACAAGGTATTGAAGCCTGGGGCACTTTACCACTGAGCTACATCCCCAGTCCTTTTTATTTTTTATTTTGAGGCAGGATCTTACTAAGTTATCCAGACTGGCCTCAAACTTTCATTCTTTTTTCCTTAACCTTCCAAGTGGTTTGTATTATAGGTATGCCATTGTTCCAGCTCTGCAGCTGTTCTTTAGAGGTATAATTTTTAAAATATTTTACTTAGATTGCATAACCTGTATTGGTCTATTTTTAAGTTTATGTGTTTATTTTGTCTACCAGCTCAAATCTTTTGAGCCTCTTCAGTAAAATTTACACTTTGAAGTTCCATTTGATTGACAGATACATTTCACTAGCATCTGGGTACCCTCAGTGACAGTTTCTGTTGCCCCCCCCCCCTTGTATATGGGTCACATTTTTCTATTTTTTTTTTGTATGTCTTATAATTTTTAGTTGAAAACAAATTTTGGATAATACATTGTAGCCATTCTGGATAATGATTTTTCTTTCTCCTTGTGGGTCATTGTTTGTTCATTTGTTGCCTGACTTCATTGAACAAATTCTCTAAAATCTTATTTTCTCTCATATGGCTCTACTCAAATGTATACCCCACTTATTTTTTAGTTTAACTCTGTAGGTTTACCATGACATGACAAACCTAATGGCTTGGTTGTACTTAAGCCTTCCCTAGTTATATCTCCAGTCCTTTTTAAATATTTTTTTATTTTGAGAGATGGTCTTGCCAGGTTACCATTGTTGGCTTTGTACTTGCAGTCCTCCTGCCTTAGCCTGGGATTATAGATGTGTGCCATGGTGCATAGCCTTTAACTCTTCTTAACCAGCTAGGTTAGAAGGATCTGTGGCAGACTTAAAAGCAGTTCCCAAGCCACATACAAATCTCAATGATAGGCTTTTGGGAGGGAGGATGAGTATGGTAGTCCTTCCCTTTTTTAGTTTCTCTCTGCCAGCATGGATCCTCCGCTACACCAGCAAGTTGGGACAAAGATAATAGAGTTCCAGGATTCTTGACTTGTAAAACTGGGAGTCAGTGCATGGGAGCTGCCAAGGCTGAATAGGATATGAAGCACTGGTAGCTTGATCCTCCTTCTGATGAAACTGTAATCTCATATTAGAAACATCCCTTATCTTCTTGACCATCCTACCAGAGTGGAATTTCTCTAACTGGGGGGAAGAAGTGGGAAATAGGTCATGATGGGAACAGGTCATGGCCCCCAAACCATAGACTTTTACTGTTCTATTTTTTTAGATTTAGTACATTTTCTTGAAAAAAAATTTCTTATTTTATATATCCTGGAATAGTTACAGACACTTTAAATGGCTTTCACCTGTGAAGTTGTTTACTGCTGTGTGGAAAAGATTCCTAGAGCCCCTTACTCTGCCATTCTGGATGTTCTGTCTGTCCTCAGCCTTTTTTTTTTTTTTAATTTTTTAAGTTGTTGATGGACCTTTATTTTATTTATTTGTTTGTGATGCTAAGAATGCCTCATGCATGCTAGGCAAGCACTCTACCACTGAGCCACAACCCCAGCCCCCCCCCCCCTTTTTTAAAGAAATAAGAATATATTATGGTTTTATTGAATTCAAATGACATTGTCTGTTCACTTTCAGTCTTTGGTTTTCTTTCTTTCCTTTTCCCTCCCTCCCTCTCTTCCTTCCTCCCTGCCTCCCTCCTTCCCTGCTCCCTCCCTCCTTCCCTCCTTCTCTTCCTTTTTCTTTCTCTTCCCTTGTAATTGTTTGATACTTCCTTCTTATATTTTGAATAATTAGTAATGCTTTTATTCAGTGTGTTTAGGTTGATGATGTTATAATTTGGGATTTTACTTTTTAGAAGTATAAAATGATGTGCAATTCAGGTCAGACTGAAACTGTAATTTTTCAAAAAAGGAGTTGAAACCATTTACCCAAGTAGATTCTAGGATTTTTTTTTTGTTGTTGTTAAATAACTCTGTCCTTGTAAATTTTGTTGCATGGTGTTATTTGGCACCACAAAATAGCATGAATGAAGTTCACTAGTTTATACCTTTTTACTCTTTAGAAATTTGATTCTGAAATTCCCACTCCCCATCTACCTACCTACCTACCTACCTGCCTACTTACCTACTTCCTCCGTCCCTCCCTCCTCAGGGTTTGAACCCAGGGGCACTTAACCTATAAAGCCACATTTCCAATCCTTTTTTTTTATTTTGAGACAGGTCCTCAGTAAGTTGCTGAGGCTAGCTTTCAACTTGTGATCTGCCTGCCTTAGCCACCTGAGCCACTTGGATTACAAACATGCACCAGCTGGCCTTGCCTCACTTTATTTTGCTACATTTATCACCTGATTACATGTGGTTAGGCATTAATTTTTTGTGAAGTCAACTTCCAGTGAGTTTATAATTTTATTCGTTATATACTGATACTCATAAATATTGTTTGTGTTATTCAGCCTTGTATAACATGACCAGCCATACTTTATTTTTTGGTGGTACTAGGTATTGAACCCAGAAATGCTTTGCCACTGAACTATATCCCCAGCCCTTTTTATTTTTCATTTTGAGACATGGTGATTCTGTGTTGCCCAGGCTAGCCTTGAACTTGCAGTCTTCTGCCTGACTTCACAAGTCACTGGGATTACAAGTGTGCACCACCACACCCACCACACTCAGCTTCATCCATGATCTTGAGCTGTGAAAAAATATTACTGTTAGCTATTTTTACACGAGAAATAGACCAGATGGCAATCAGAGTTAACTTATACCTCTTGGGACATCTCTCTCGCGCTCTCTCTCTCTCTCTCTCTCTCTGTCTGTCGCTCGCTCTCGCGCTCGCTCTCGCTCGCTCTCTCTCTCTCTCTCTCTCTCTCTCTGTCTCGAGATTGAACCCAGGATTGTTCTACTTTGAGCAACATCCCCAGTCCTTTCTGTTTTGAAAATTTCTTTTGAAACAGAATCTTGCTGTGTTGTTCAGGCTGGCCTCAAACATGCAATTCTCCTGAGTAGCTGGGATTAGAAGCCACTGTACCTGATTGACACAATTCCTCACAAGTAAATCTTTGGGGGCATTTCTGATTTACTAAGTCTAAAGTATCTTCCTCCCACTATAACATATTATATTGCTGGTTCTAAAGACCGTGGGAATCTTTATGGAGAGTTGGAATGTAATCTTGCTCATCTATATGGGACAGTTCTTACTCCCATAGGTCCCAGTCTCTGTGTCAAATCCCTTGTAAATATGCTTATTTCCAACAGAGAGGAAAGGTAAACTTTTTGTTGTTGTTGTACTCTTGTTACAGGAATCACTTGTTTTATATTGATGAGGAGGTATTGTGAAAATAGGGTGCAGTAGACTGTGCTAGTCCTGTCCTTGGTGCTTGTGAAGAGTCTTCCTGTTTATTTATTTATTTATTTTTATGCGGTGGTAATATTCAAATCCAATGCATGTCACATGTGCTAGGCAAGGGCTCAACCACTGAGCCCCAACCCCAGCCCCTTGGCAGGGTTTTTGAGGCTATTGAAGACAGTCCTATAGTGATTTTTTTTAGTAGGACTATTAGTATGTCATTGTTTGTTTTCCTATTTCTATTGTTTATAAAAATTACTGTCCAAAAAAATATTCATGTTTAGAAGTAAAGTGGGTTAGATAGTAAAACCTTACCTTCATTTCTGAAGACAGGCACAGTAAAGCATGAATGAATTTGGCTAGTTCAGGTTAGTGTGCATGCCTATAATAATTCTACCAGTCCAGGAGTCTGGGGCAGGAGGATCGAAAATTTGAGGTCAGCCTGGGCAAGGTAGCAAGACTTGCCTCAAAAAAAACAGGGCTGGGGTTGTAACTCAGTGGTATAGTGCTTGCCTAGCATGTGTGAGGTACTGAGTTTGATCCTCAGCGCTACCTAAAAGTAAATAAATAAAGGTATTAGGTCCATCTACAACTTAAAAAAAATTAAAAAACAAAATATGACTTTGGTTTTATTTTTGTTTTCGTTCCTCTGCCTTCAGACATGCTACATTTGTGATGAACAAGGAAGAGAAAGCAAAGCAGCCACTGGTGCTTGCATGACATGTAATAAACATGGATGTCGGCAAGCTTTTCATGTAACCTGGTGAGTACATTTCCATCATTGTGTAGAAAAGCAATTGGTAAATGACTTGTATTAAAGTTATAAGTTAAAAACTTAGGTATCCAAGTATTAGTTACAGTAAGTTTTATTGGAATAGTTTTTATGTTTATTTACTTATTTGTAGTAAAGATAATTCTAACAAGTGACTAATATTTACTAATGAGGATTTGCAGTAAGTGGACCTGGGTTCTAATGTACACTAAGCTCCCATTTCATCTTGTTTAAAATATTGGTATTGGTCACATACCCTTTGATTTGTAATTAGGATGAAATGAGCTGATACAGGTAGACTTGGCACAGTGTCTGAAATATTAGGATTCATTGTGCTTGTTCACCTTCTTTGTCTCAAGGGAAATTAATATGGTCACCATCATTTTTGAGGTTATGTGGGCTGCCTCTCACACATTTATATCACCAAATTTCAAGGACACAAATTATTAAAAACCTGATATTTTACATAATAGTTAAAAAATGTTTGGGAATAATCCACATACTTATTAATTTTAATAATCCATTTATGCCTGATGGTTAATGTAGGCACATGCTCATTTCTTGAGCTTTTAAGTATTTAAGTACATTCTAGGCTGTTTGAGGGGGGAAAAGATTTTTATGAATTATCTTGATTACTATGCCTAATTTTTCAAAGATGAAATTCCCTTTTTGGGTATGAAAACTATTTTAATACTGTGATTTTGGAGTATTAAAATTGTGAAAGTTCAAATTGACAGAATTGTCATTGTAAACTAGCATTGTGTGTGTGTGTGTGTGTGTGTGTGTGTGTGGCGAGGTTGGGGGGGGGGTGTGCCCACACACAAACACATCTTCGCACCAAGAATTGAACACAGAGCCTAGTGTGTGCCAAGCAAGAATTCTACAACTGAGACACCCCAGAGCCCTGTATTTTGTATTTAAAAATATATATATAAACATACAAGTTTCAGTTTCATTTCTTCTACTGTTTTTGGCTGAAGAACACAACTTAAGTTTATCTTGTCTACGTGCTATGTCACTGTTCCCTTCAAGAGTTGTGAACTTAGTCCTGGGTGAATGAATTTTTCCTCTTAAGCATATTCAATTTGCATCCATGGGCTAGATATATCATTTCATCCTTTTAGAGAGGCAAGGGCTTTATTTGAACTTCTGATGTAGATTGAAAAAGTAAACTGAATTGTTAATTATGAAGTAGGATGTAATTTATCCTAAAGTTTTTTCTTTTTAAAGATGTGGCGTCACAGTGTTGTCCAGGTTGATCTCGAAATTCTGGGCTCTCCTGACCTTTCTGTTTCATTCAGCCTCCTGAGTAGCTGGGGCTACAGGCACACTGTATTGTGCCTGCCTGTGTCTCTGTCTTTGTCTGTATGTCTCTTCTGTCTGTCTCTATTTATTCATTCTTTTTTTTTTTTTTTTTGGTGCTGGGGATTGAACAAAGGGCCTAGCACTTGGTAGGCAAGCACTCTATCACTGAACTACATCGCAGCCCCTGTCCCTGTCTCTTTAAGTAACGTAATGTCTATTTGGTAGCATTAAATATGTATACATCTTCATCCTTGATAGAGATGAAGAACACATTTTTTCGTTTATTCATTCTTTCATTTAGGTATTTACTTAGTTTTTGTAGCACTGGAAATTAAACCCAAGGGTGCTCTACCACTGAGCTAGATTCCCAGACCTTTTTATTTTTTGAGAGAAAGGGTCTCATTAAGTTGCCCAGGCTGGCCTCAAATTTGGGATCCTTTTTTCTCAGCCTCCAAGTAGTAAAGAGCTTATTTTAAATCATAACTATACATACCCTTTAAAAAATGATCAGTTGCAGGTTGGAATGAGATGTACTTTGCCACAAATAGAATAAAGCCTTTTATCTTAGAAGATATATTCCTTACATATTCCTTACAAGCATCTTAAGAGTAAATTTTGTTCATTTCTTTATGCTGTATTGTTTTTTAATCCATGCACCTGGACTTTATTTTCAGTGCTCAATTTGCTGGACTTCTATGTGAAGAAGAAGGTAATGGTGCAGATAACGTCCAGTATTGTGGCTACTGTAAATACCATTTTAGTAAGCTGGTAAGAATTAGTTTTGAATTTAATATTAAAATACTAGTAATTAGTTTTGACAATAGAGTGACACCATTATTTAAAAAAAAGTGTAAGAAATTTCTTTTACCTCAATTTTTGCTTATGATTAATTTGTTTAGCATGTTCTTTATTGGAAATGAAAAGATTTAATTTAAAAAAAATCTTGCTCTGCTTGTGTTCTTTTGTAAAGTTGAATAGTCTAGAATATTCTAGTTTAGAATATATATAAGTACTTGATAGCAAATTTTGCTGTACATTTAGTAGAAAAATTATTTTGTATAGAACTCCTATATTATTTTCAGTTAACTTTTGGCGTGTCATTATCCTTTTGTGATTTCTTTTCACTTGTTTCTCGTTTTTCTGTTTCATTATTGTTACTCATGTCATTTTAAATTTATTTTCATTTTTATTTACTAGGAAATAGTAAAATTGAAGTAAGGCTTTTTGACCTTAAGAAATATATTTAAGCCCAACTTTGGGAATGTTTTAAAATTTAATCAGTCTTTGCTGTTAAACATTAGCATGGATGATTGAGTTAGTAGTAATATATGATTAATCATTTCATATTTATGTTCATGTTCCTTTGAAGGATCAGTATTTCTTTAATGTCCCAAGTGTTTCTTTCTCAACCCTTATACATTCATACACTGAAGTTTTAAGGCACCTTTGTTTTTCTTTTAGTGTTTATTATTACCTTTTTCTCAAGAATGAGGCTTGCTCCTTCTTTCCTTTGTTCTTCTTTCCTTTCATATTAATAACATTAATAGAGGCTCCTGTTTTATGAAATGAGCAATTCATATCTCCAGTTTTCTGTATTTCATCCATATGAAATACAGTCATTAAGTCATCACATAATGATGATGGACTACATATAAGATGGCAATCCCATAAGTTTATATTGGAGCTGAAAAAATTGTATTTGTTTAGTAATGTTACCTTAGCTTTCATGTCTAGATACGCTTAGATTCACAAATACTTAGCATTAGTATTCAGTGTAGTATTATGTTGTACAGGTTTATAGTCTAGAAACCATTGGCTATACCATATAACCTAGGTGTATAGGAAACTGTACCATCTAGGTTTGTGTAAGAGTACTCTGTCTGATATTTGTACAATGAGAAAATCACTTAATAGCATATTCCCTAGAATGTATCCAGTTTTTCAGTGACACATGACTGTACTTAAAAGTTTTATCTCTATCATTTGATGTGAAGGCTTTGATTTAATGACTAACAAAAAATAACCAACTGTTCAAGAGAAATTTTGAGATTGAAAAATTGAAAATTTTGCTTCTGGGTATTAAGCCATACTGGAATCTTCATTTTCTAAATGAGATGTGGTACAGATAAAAATATACAAATAATGAAATGGATTTTGAAGTTTGTAAAATAGAATTTTCTCATTGCTAGTTATTGACAGAATGTTATCCCATTTGCTAGTTGGGAAAGAAGTCTGTTTAATAATTTAATAAGATCATATAAATTATTTGCATAGATTTTATCTTTTATGGTCATTTTTATCTAGTTTAAACTAATTATAGTCTCAACAATTTTTAAACACCCCAAGTAAGTCTTGCCTTTGTACTTTATTATGCAGCTGTGTAAATATTTTAATTTTATTTAAATGTATAATGCTTTTAGTAATGCTTTGAAAAATGCATGGGTCTAATACTGACATTTCCTTAATGAACTGTAAAGATAAGTTTCTAGAAAACCGTATTCCATTTTAATACTGGAAGTATAAGATTAAAAAGCTTCTTGCTTTACTAGTGGCATAAAGTAACTCTTCAAATATTTACTTTTCTATTCTTCTAGTCTTGGCATCCTTCTTTAACAATGGCATTTTCTCTTTTGATTGAAATATATATTTTTAAGACAGACATTGAAAATAGGTAATCTATTTTCACACAACTTAATAAAATATACAAAAATATGGCATTAATATTAAATTGGGGGTTAGTTTTTTTCTTTGTAACAATGGATGATGTTTAAACTGGATTATATAAATTGAAATAGTGACTTTTTAAAAACTTTACCAACATTTAAAATATTTTACACTTGAGTTAGTTTAAATCTAACAAAAATTACTTAAAATTTTTATATACATATACACATATGTATATATATTTTCTTTTTTAGAAAAAGAGCAAACGGGGATCAAATAGGTCATATGATCAAAGTTTAAGTGATTCTTCTTCTCACTCTCAGGATAAACATCATGAGAAAGAGAAAAAAGTAAGTGGATTTGTTGTTGCTAAATATGTAGCACATCAATTTAATAAAAAAAATTTTTTTGTTTATTTAGATAAGATTCTGATACCTAAATTGAAACATTGAAATACTGAAAAATTTTGACGAATGAAAGAGTATTAAAACCAAAGAGTAGGCTTAAAATAATGCCATATTTGTGAATATGGTTTTACCCATTGTAACTGAAAATTTAAAGTGCAACTTGATTGAAAGCATGAGAGTGATTTCTTGCATGTGTTAACTGTGGTCTTGTGAAATCTTTAGGTGACTTCAGCAATAATACTTTGTTGCTATATATCATTAACTGATTACTTCACATGTAAGTAATTATCTCATCAGCTTTTTTACTTTATAATAGAACAGATCTGAAGTCTTGTATATTCTTGGCTGGTTTTTCTTTTTTTAGTCGTGCTAATGGTTTATTATTTTTTTCTAATGGCCAAATGTTACACCATTTGTTTGAGAATATTTTGTCTTTTAATTGAAACGCTAAAATCTTGCCTAAATACTAATCTGTCTTCTTCTGACTTGTTTTCTGCATATATTTTACTTAAGTTAAAGGATATAGTTAATTTTTAGATAAGATTATTGAATATTGTAGAATTGTTCATACTTGATTTATAATTCTTTTAGGAACATATTGCCAGTGTACTACTTATGAATTGTTTGAATGGAAGTGAGGCTAGAAAGTGCATCTTTAATAGAAAAGAGTATTCTTATATAGTTGGTATAAATTAGTTTTTGAAAATATTTCGGCATATCACAACATTTTCACATTTTTAAATAATTTGGATTTGGGGAATGCTAATGTATAATTATTTAAATACATTTTGGTTCAAGTTTTGTTTGTGCCTTTATTGAGGTAAACATTTAAAAATTTTCAGTATTCAATTTTAGGATTAGATTTCCTGTTAGGAGTAAAATAATAAATATAACTTTAAGTTTAGGACAGTTATTATGTATGTATGTATGTGTATATGTATGTATATATAAATACATATATTTGATTTTAGGCAGCAAGTACACATTTATCTTGACTTTGTTATGGAGCTGTTTTTGTGATAACATTGCAATAGTGGGGATCTATCTTGTGTCTGTCCTTTGAATTGCCAATAAAAAATGGCAGGGTTGGTTTAATTAGTAATTTTAGTAAGAGACACCACGAGTTTTTAAGATCATGATTTGCAGATTCTTAGGTAGGACTCATTATAAAGTGTGAAGAAGGAAATTTCATCTTTAATGATCTCATTAAGTTGTCTAGGCTGGCCTTGAACTTGAGTTCAGTTTGTTTCAGCTTCCTCCATTGCTGGGACTACAGGCTTGGGCCACCAGTACTCACTGCCCAATACATTTACTATTACTGGTATACTATAAAAGATACCATAATTCAGGAACAACCAGATGGCAAAGATACATAAGACAATTTGTGGGGGAAGTATGTAGAGCTTTCATGTTCTGTCATAATGTGTAACCCTCTTAGTGCCTCCAAATATTCACCAGCCTGGAAGCTCTCTAAGCCCCATTGCTTTTTAAGTTTTTAAAATGAAGGTCTCATGCTATCACCGTTATTGATTAAGTCATTGGTCATTGGATTCAATCTCCAATATCTCTCCTCTTCCCAGGGGCCCAGGGGTAGGACTCAAATTTCCAATACATGGTTGGATTTTCTGGTGATCATCCAACCAATAAGAATTATTAGCATAAAAAAGAGTCATTAGCATGAACTCAAATGTGGTTGAAAGGAGGCACATAATAATGAATAACAAACGTATTTCTCTTATCCCTATCATTCAGGGATTAGAGGGTTTTTAGAAGCTCTGTACCAGGAATTGCTTAGGGCAGAGATCAAATAAATACTTCCTGTTATATATGTCACAACTGCAAAATAGAATTTTATTTTTCTTAAGTAGCAAAGTGGTATATAAAATTAACAGTTTCTTTGACTGTAGTAGAAATCACTAGAAATATATTTTAGTGATCTTTAATAAGGAAGTCATCTCTGGTGTTCCATACTTGTTAAAATCTTTTAAAAGAACCAACCTCACTTGTAAACCACTTCAATTTGAAGCTATTAAAAAACACTCTTTAAGAATGATTAAGCTCCCTTGGGTTGTGGCTCAGTGGTAGAGTGCTTGCCTAGCATGCGTGAGGCACTAGGTTTGATCCCTGGCACCACATAAAAATAAAGACAAATAAAATAAAGGTATTGTGTCCATTTACAACTTAAAAAAATTTTTTTAAAAGAATGATTAAGCTCCCATCATTATGTAAAACTATAGTGCACCAATAAAAACATGGGAAAAAAGCAATGTTTGAAAATTTAAAAAATGATTAAGCTCTTTTTTCATGGGAAGGCTAAAGGACTATTTAGTCAATAACTTACAGTAACTCATGGTAGTTAGAAGAAAATGGAGTTATTCTGACTTAAATTTCCTGTTCTTATGTTTAAAGAACCTCTGCCACAGAACTAGGTGTGGGAAGGATTCAGAAATGTAAAGAATAGTTTATTTCTAAAGGATAAGTATCATTATTGGGAAATGAGCGTTTATTTATTTCATTGATATAGCAGTTCATTTCATCTTCAGACTAATCTTTCTATTCCCCATTGCCAGTTAATCCATGTTGTGTCAGAAGAGTAGTATTAGTTTATAGAAAAAGTCACCATTAGTGATGGTATTATAGATGCTCCTCTACTCACGGTGGGGCTACATTCCAGCAAGCTTGTTATAAGTTGAAAAGAAAAGTCAAGAGTACATTTAATGCACCTAATCTGGTGAACATCACAGTTTAGCGATACACAGTATATAGTATATTGTAGAGTTTATGCTTGTGGTTGTATAGTTGGCTGGGAGCTGCTACTTGCTGACTTTGCCCAGGATTGCCAGATAGAATTGTATCTCATATTGCTAGCCAAGAAAAGCTCAAAATTCAGAATTCACAGTATGTTTTTCTTACTGAATGAGTATTGCTTTTATGAAATGAGTATTGTGAAAAGATTTTGTACCAGTTTAAAAATCACAGGTTGGACCATCTTAATTTGGGGACTGTCTATTTGTAGAAATGCACTCAGTTCCAAATATATATGCCAGAAATCCATCTGTGCCCTTCTACAGTGAGATGGGATTTATCTCCTACCCTTATTTGTCCTTAATTTCAGTTTGTTGTTAACAACTGGCAACAGATATAGACACCTTTGCCATCATAAACTCTGTTATGGTGAAGGTTTGTGGCTTTTTGATTAGTGTTTTGTGCACCTGGGAGATTGATTGGATGTCTCTTTTAAGGTTGCTAATCTCTTTGGAGAGAATTAGACTAATTTCTTCTGTAACCCAGGAAATAAGACTCAATCAATGCATTTTCATTATTTCATTCATTTCATTACTCTATGTCCTTTTAAAAGTTTTCAGCTTTGAGAGTCACCTGGCACCTGTTTCTTATTTTGTGTTCTTACCCTTTTGAAATCTTGTACTCAAGTTGAAGCTTTCAACTTCTGCATATGTAGAGAGGTAAGAAAGGGCAGAACTTAAAACACTTTAGAATGTCTGGGCTGTGTTTGGAAAGGCCAAAATGAGATGAGATGACTACTTAGCTAAGAAGGGCCTGATTCATGAAGAGGTTTTTTTTTTTATTATTATTATTATTTTTTTTATAAGCAGTTTCATTTGGCAAAATCATCATTCATGGAAACCTGCAGCTCAAAAGCACAGGGAGGTCTGTGCGTCCTCAAAGTGTGTGCTACAGTTTACTGCACAGCTTCTAGTAAGCCTGCTGGTATGGGCTCCTCTCAAAAGATGCAGGATAGGGCTGGGGATGTGGCTCAAGTGGTAATGCGCTTGCCTGGCATGCGCGGGGCGCTGGGTTCAATCCTCAGCACCACAAAAACATAAAATAAAGATGTTGTGTCCACTGAAAACTGAAAAATAAATACTAACCCCCCCCTTTTCTCTCTCTTCTCTCTCTCTCTCTTTAAGGAAAAAAAAGATGCAGGATAGCCGATATAAGACTAAATAGACTATCAAAGTAAGCCACTAGTAGCCTCCAAAATTTTGCGTTTATTTAAAGGTATTTTGCTTCCTTTTTAATGGTGCGAGTCTCGAGAAAACAGTTTTTCTTTGCCAGAGGAATTTGGCATTGTGAATTCTTCCCATAGACTTTACTTGTTGATTAGGTCTTTGAATTTTATTGTGTGAGTTTCTTATCAGCCAACACTGCTGGTATAGGTGTGATTATATCACAGATCTGATTTTCCGAGAAATAGTGATGGTTTTGGAAATCAAAGGATGAGGCATTTTCACTAAATCCTTGACATACCTATTTGCCTCAGGTGGCAAGGGAGTTTAGGTTCTTCTGTGGGAATACTTGAGACATATTGGAGACTTTGCCACTTGGTGTGATCTGATATTGACCCTTGTATGGCAGAGGCATTAGAATGTCCAAAGACAACCTACCTACCAAGTTCCTTCAGTCTGTGCAATGGATTTAATCATGCATTTGGTACTGTAAGAGCAATAACTAATCATGGTGGTAATTCACCATAAGTGTCCAGTTTCTCTTAGCCTTTTTTATTTGTTCCTATTGGTTCTGCAGGGCTTCTGTGTTGAGATACTGACTCTCTTACTACCTCTGCTACCTTTACATCCTTTTCCAAAGTTGTGGCTTTCCTTTGTTCTCCTGGAATTCTGTATTGCTTCTGTTAGACCACCCAGGAAAGGGATATGGTTTGATGAATGATTTATATATCCCACTAGTACTTCTGTATGTGATGCTCTTCTCATTAGGTGATAAAGATGTGCATTTGACACAATAGTAGTCAAAACTTTTCCTGTAAAGAACCACATAGTAAATATTTTGGGCTCTGTAGGCCGTATAAAGTCTTTTTCACATATTCTTTGCATTTCTTTGGTAAAGAATCCTTTATTTTTTGGTACCAGGGATTGAACCCAGGGGTAGTTAACAACTGAGCCATATCCCCTGCCTTTTTTTAT